ATCTCATGCTTACTGTACCTTCCTCGGGACTCCAGAATCAGCTTTCAGAAAGAAAACAGGAATGCAAGCAATTGTTTATTTTAGGAATTTAATGTCAATGACCTTCAAGTTGTAAGCTGCTGCAGTGCGATTGAAAATTAATTTGATTTAAATAATACAAGAAAAAGTATCTGGGTTTCAGCTTGGGTTCTGAATTTCTGTATATTATAATGATGATCAATGCCATAATTATACTGGAGACTTAGGAGTGGGGTTCTTGTTCTTGTTCAAAAAGAGAATTTGGGGACTGGAAAGATGGCTCAGTGGTTAAGAGCATTTGCCTGCTCTTCCAAAGGTCCTGAGTTCAATTCCCAGCAACCACATGGTAGCTCACAACCATCTGTAATGGGGTCTGGTGCCCACTTCTGGCCTGCAGGCATACACACAGAATATTGTATACATAATAAATAAATATTAAGAAAAAGAGAGAATTTGGAAAATTACAGAAAGAGATTAGGACCATATGGCTCCTATTGTTCTCAGTTCTTGGGCATTTATTCAAATACCTAAAAAGGCAGGAATGTAATCTTAAGGCACCAAACTCAAATTATTCCCACAACAGGTCAATGAGGTTTCCTTGTGATCCCAAGTCATGACTGTAGTAGAATACAAAAGCAATACAATCTGTGTATTTATTTAATTTATCTCTTGAATTCAAAACCAGTTCCTAAAACTCAGACAGTGTTTAAAAGATAAGACCTTTGATAGCCAAGAAACTGGTTTCAGAATCATGAATAATTAGCTAAAGATTGCTGGCCAGAATTCGAATCCTGTTCTGGCGAGACTCTGCGGATGTTGCTATGGAATAATGTGGTTTGAGGATGTCCCCCAAGAGTTCATATGTTAGAAGCTTAGTCCTGAGTGTGGTGAGACAGAACGTGATGGAGACGCTAGGAGGAGGACCCAGTGGGGATCAGTTACGTCATTGTGGGTGCCACCTTTAGAAGACATTAGGGTAGTTTCCATGGAATTTGGTTAGTTCCCTCAATAAGTAAGAGTTGTTATTTAAGGTGTGGAGGCAGGAAAATACAAAATTTGGATCAAGCCAGGACAACATAGCAAGTTCAAGAACAAGTGGACTAAATAGTTAGATCCTGTCTCGTGGATAAATAAATACATAAAGAAAAATAAATTTTACTAAGAAGTCTTATAAAGAGTGATGCTGGCCCCTCTTCCAGCTGCCATGTCATTTCTCAGCATGACCTCTCTCCATGTTAAATACACTATAGCCCAAAGCCATCTGCCACACAGTGACCCAAATAAAGCCCTCACCAGAAGTTAATGGGGCTACTGACCTTTTCTTTTCTTTGTGTATTATCATCTTCAGTTTATTTATTACAGCAACAGAAAGCAAACAAATACAGGCATCTTCATGATAGCAGCCACTTGGAAGATGCTCCTCCAGGGAGAGGCTCTGTCTTCTGGATGAATGTATCTTAAAAACAAAACTTAACTATGAAGAGGGGAAATAAAAGAGGCTGGAGTGGAGGCTAGGCAGAAAGAGATGCCTCCTGAAAGTTGCTTCGTGGGATGGTGCCCACGAATCTGCATGGACCCAAAATCCCCTACAGAGGAACTCTACAGCAGAACTCACGGTTACCCTTCTCTAAATTCTGTGCAGGATGGAGGGAACAAGAACAAAATCTATGATTCCAGTTCAGCAAGTCTACATCATGTTGCCAGAGCTATCTCTGCTGAGAAAAGGGCAGAATGCTTCAACTGTCATTGACCTATCCTCATTGACAACATCATTGAACTTGATGAATATGTGGAAAATTCAGAATCTTCCACACATGACATGACTAAAAGGCCAGATTCTCCATCACAAAAGACTCCAAGAATCTAGGCTAATCCTCACGGCTGGTGAAGAAAATCCTATTTTGTAAGACTTCCTTTCACAAGCAGAAATGCAACCTGTGGCTGTTTAGCATGTGACATAGCTCTGGCACAGTGAGCATCTGCTTTCTGTCTTCACTTGGGTATGCACCAATTACTTCTCTCGTTGTTGTGACCAAAGATTTAACAAGGATCAACCTAAGGGAGGAAGAACTTATCAGGACTTACAGTTTAAGAAAAAATATAGCCAGTCATGGTGAGGAAGGCCTGGCAACTGGAACATACAGTAAAGGGTCACACTGTGTCTGCAGTCAGGAAGCAGAGATTAGACAGGACAAGGGGCCAGGTTGGAAAACCTCAAGGCTCTGCCTGCAGTGGTCTGTAATGGAAGTTTCTATCCCGCCAAGTCCTGCAGCCATTCAATCCCAAATAAACAGACAGAGGCTTATATTCATTATAAACCGTTTGGCCTATTGCTCAGGTTTATTACTAACTAGCTCTTACAATTTAAATTAATCCATATTCTTATCTATATTTAGCCACATGGCTTGGTACCTATTCTCAGTAAGGCCTTCTCATCTTGCTTCCTCTGTGTCTGGCTGGTGACTACATCTCTGCCTTTCCTCTTCCCAGAATTCTCCTAGTCTGATTTCCCTACCTATACTTCCTGCCTAGCTACTGGCCAGTCAGCATTGCATTAAACCAGAATGAGTGGCAAGTCTTTACAGTGTACAAGAGCATTCTCCCACAGCAGGCCACTTCCAGATCCTCCTATTAAGGTCCTGCAACCTTCTCCAAAACAGCACCATCAGCTAGGGGTCAAACATTCAAGCACGTGAACCTATGGGGGACATTTCATATTCAAAGCACAATGAAACCTAAATGGAAGCTATGGAGTTTCCCCCCTAAGATTCTTTTTAAATTGAATAAGCACTCTCTACAATGGGCAGCAGCCAGGAAGCATCTCATGTTAAAGTAACAAGCAGTTTTCACAGGTCAATAAAGTGGACTTAAACTGCTGCTATCTTGATCCAAAGTAATGCTATTACCTAGAGATGTGAAGGTATAGAAAGGAAGTATAGGAAGCAGATCCTTCCACTTAGAAAGATTGTGATGAAAACAGTTTAATATGCTATTAATCTTCATTCAAAAGAACTTTCAGTCTCATTAAGAAGCCATTTCTGATGGATCTGAATGAGTGATGGCCAGGTATAAGTAAATCGCCATCATGGGCAAGCATTGAGGGCATACTTAGGGGCAAGCTCAGCCCAGCACCTACATCCTATTGCTATTATTTCCAGAATGGTGCTGCTACTTAGGCAGTTTCCAGCTGAAGACAAAAGGAAGATGACATAGAATATGACTTCTACAGCTCTCTCAGGGTGGAAGGGTTAATAAGTTGGTGAGAACCAAATCACATCGCTCTTACTCCTTTTCAAGCAAAAAGGGTGTTTGCATATTCTCGCTGGGAAAAAAACACTCTGATTTGGGTAATGTCCTTTGCTCCTCTTTTCGGTTATTCAGAGAAGCCCTCTCCCTCCAAAATGAAGCATCTTGGAGAAATAAAACTCTAGCAGGCTTTGATCCTGGACAGTCTGAAGCCTGCTTGAAGTTGGAAGGGGAGTGTCTGCAGGCGACAGAGGTGTCGCGCTCATTCACAATTTCCGAGCCCTGAATGAGGATTAGACAGAAGAGCAGAATGGTGGTATGTGATAAAGACACTTAAAGGGAATTTAACGGTTTGTTCTCTTCCAAATTACTGAACATTAAGTTTAAATGTTTTCATATAAATATTAAATTATATGTATATAACTGTCGCAAATTTGCGCTTACCACCCAGTTTCACAAGGAAAACGTGGCTTTATTTTCCTTTTCTGTTATCCTCCCTCCAAGTTTCTGCTCCACTGAGGAAGAGGAGAAAACACACTTGTCTCAAGCTCTTCCTTTTAAATGGTGTCTTTTGCCCATTTATTCTGTCTTAAATACAGAATTCTATTGTTGTTTCTCTCCTCGAATGACACTTGGTGATAGGAAAGGTGTATGGCCCCCAGAGCTTCTTTGTGTCTTTCTCTGTTCCTGTCTAGATCTGCTGTCTTCTGAACACCACTGGTCCCCTCTGGCCTTTTGGGAAACTGCAATTATTTCTTTCTAGATTATTCCCTTTTAGAGAGAGCTCTATCTCTCATTACAGACATGGCCGTCCCCAGGATCCAGTCACTATGGCCCCCAACACATAGGCCATAGTACCAAACCAATCTTGCGGGCCCTCCTAGGCTGTGGAAGAGGAAAAGGTGTCCAAAACCATTGCTTTCCCATTTCAACCATACCCTCCCGACTTGTAAAAGGAGGGGGAAAATAGCTGTAAAAAATAGATGTGTCTCACCACATCTAGTTTCTACCAATTAAAGTTGTTAAACGACTGTGACCTTCAGCAACATGGCCACTGATACACATTTCAAAGCTGATAAGCAGTGAAGTACTTAGAGTAACCCCAATTCGTCAGCCCCTTCCTGAACCTAACTCTCCTGATCAATGAGCAATGGATTTGTTTTAATCAAGCATACACAGACTGATGGACACATTCTGACTTTGCCATGGTGAAAACACTCCATCATGAATTAGCATAAGTATCATGAACCTCTTCCTTCTCTGGTGCATAAAACATCCTGTCAGTCCCCCCCAGGAAGCCCTTGCATTCAGAGCTGTGTGTTATGTTGGGGATTTAAGGAAGAAGCTCAGTGTTTGCTTGCTTTCTTGAACACTGTAGTCATTGGTTTCCTGTGAACGTCTGAGCAGAGGAGTAAGGACTTGAGCATGGAGGTCTTGGCCTTCTTCTTGGGTCTTCAGGGCCTTCCTTGGAAATGCTCTCTTTCTTTGGTAGGACATTCCATATGCTATTCCTCCCAGGGGAACTATGCCTTTGGCCGAACAAGGTGGCCGATTGGCTACCAGGGAAATTGACTTTCCAATTAAGAAACATATCTCGAGAAGTATTTTAAAATTATCATTCCCACCAGACACTATATCAAAAAATGACACAAGAAATCTGGCAAACAAAAGTCAAAGTCCTGTATTTTGCTTACTAGTTATACACTAATAATTTGTAACACAAAGCTCTTTGTGTGAACCATCTACATTCCCAGGACCTTCATTCTTTTAACTCCAGCTCTTTCCCTGTAAGGTAAGTATTATTATCATTACCATAATTTTATAAATGAGAAAACTGAAACACAGGACAATGAAGCAACCTTGTCCATGGTTACAAGGTGAACTGTGCATGGGCAGGGTTCGAGTCTCAACAGCTTGGTGCCTGGGATACTCACACCCAGCTGCTAGGGTACTGCAGCTAGGTGCCAACATACCAAAGCTAGGATGCAGGAGTCTTAGGAAGAAAGGAAAGCTGCACATTGTGAGGGTTTTCCAGGTACAAAAAAAATTATGTACATGGTTTCTAATTTCATCTAAGATGGAAAAAATAAGGAACAGAATATGCCACATTCATCCGGCGAAGTGACTAGTTGGTTAGAGGAGCTTTTGTTCCTGCTTCTTAACTTGGAGAAAAAAATGATAGCATTAGAGTAGACCTGGAAGTTAAGAGGACCAGTCTTTGATTCTCCATTAACAAAGGGCTCTTTCTAGCTATTCACACCTGATCACACAATGGGACCATTATTAGAAAGACTTCAGGGAAGAGACCATCAATGTATTTTCTCCCTCTGCAGAAACCAGCCAGAGACAAGAATTTGCTATAAAATTATCTGGATTTAATCGCTATCAACATCGGAACCATGGTACATTAAAGTACAAAACTTTTATGTACAATTACACGTACAAAAAAATGTTCTTTGTGAGGAGCAATTTGAAGCAAATCTGACAAACAGCAAGAATCATTCCTATTTGAGGTTTGAAAGGGAAAAAATGGAAATTTCCAAGATCTCTCCCTCCTCCGTCGGGCCCCAGTGACCCTCAGAACATCCATTTGCAAAGTCCTGAGGTAGGAAGGCAGGTATTGTGGAAAGGATGACGTTTTTAGGAAACGTTTTCCATTATTTATTATACTGATGTTCCATCCATCTGCATCATTAGCTTCAGTAGTTACCATGACAATATGATGCCTACAGCAATCTAACTTGATAGCCAGATGTCAGAATGGGAAAAAATAGGACCAGCTAAGAAAGTGAGAGAAATATAATTAGTCTGAACCACATAGAAAATGTGCTCAAAACTGGGACCAGGAGGAAAATTGCTGAAATGTCATTGAAAAAGGAATCACTGAAGGGCAGCAATAATCAAATTCAATGTAAAAACTTTGCTAACAAGAGCCATAAACTGGTCTTTAAGCAAGTCGAAGGAAGGAGTCCAAGCTATTCTGGGATGTTGCTCCAAGTCCCTGCTGCATAGCCCAGTAGTGTCACTTTGGTTCTTGTCATAGGATTCTCAGGACCCTCATTTTCCTGAGGTTCTCAAGCTCCCACCCCAAGTGCTGCTGCCGTCACAATCAAGTGAGGACATTATCCCCTGCTCCTCCATACGATGAAATAATTCCCATCCCTTTAAAGCTAAGCTGAAGACTAGACCAAGTTGTGTCTAGGGAGATCCTGCCCTTTAACATCAGGTAGCCCTCGTTCTGTGGTTCACGGTGAATCCCTGAACATGAGGTGAGCAGGGCACTGAGAGGTGGAGAGCACTGGAAGCAAAGGTGCTCCAGGAGATGAGGCCTGGATGGGTGAGTGGTCATTCTCACAAGCCTGGAACAAATGCTCACTCTCAGCATGGTTGGGTTGGGTAGCGGCGCTGGGCTAGGCGATTTGGCCGGTTCAGGTTAGTAGCTGTAGAAAGCTGGAAAAGAAGAGACGCGATACTAGAGGGTAGCTCCGAGAATGTCTCCACTATGGGACTAGCATGTTGAGCAAGGGGACCCACTGCAGCTGTAGGTGGCTTCTCGACACTGTGTTCATTCTAACGCACAACCTTCACCTCTGAACAATGAAGGGAAGCTTGATTTTGTAAACAGCAAAGGCCAAAGGATATATATATATCTAGAGCCATCCTAGGGCACTGAGGAGCAGAGAGTATGGCTCCTCTCAAAGTTTACAGGAATCCCCTCATCCCAAGAGAGGACCACACCAAAACATCAGCACTGTGTCTCTCATGTCTCAGGATCAATTACAGATTAGGAGTGATGTTCAGAGCTGTGACATTTCTTGAGCATTTTCTAGGTACCATATTACATACATACTAGATTTGCAATAACTTCTGCTAGTTCTATTTTACTGATGTAGGAGAGGCTCATTAATTACCCGAAAACTCACATTCAGTGTGTGGAAGAGTGGAATTGTGTGCTACCCTTCTTGGTCTATGACCTGACCTCTTAACTCCTCCCCATAAGGATGGTCCTTACCTGAGGGACCTGGGATGGATTGTAGAGAGGAACAGCACCTTGCAAGGTGGGTGGAGGAGGCAGAGCACCTGGCGGGGAGTAGAACTCAGAAGAAACACCCTGTGGTTGCAAATAACAGAGATTCTGATCCGTGGCTGCTTCCTGGTAGATTAGAACCTCCCACAGGAATCAGCGTTGGACAATAGAAGGGTTTCTTATAAAACTCAAGTGGCCACAACCAATGCCAGGACCTGGGATGGCCATGTAGAGACAGGAGCCCTTAGACCCAAAGAAAGTAGAAAGAAAAAGTCACAATAAATTAGATCAGAACATTAAAATCACTATTAAACTCTTCAAAAGGCCTCAGATGGTACAAGAGCACTCCAACCAGGCTTCAAGAAATAGAAACATTTTCCTAGGGATAGTCATGAAATCCCTAGCTATATAGGCAATTTGTAAAGAATTTATGATAGCCCCAGCCAAGAGCACATGAGTGAACTCCACTTCCCACTAAGTCAGAAGCAGCCAGTCCGTTAACTCCATTTGAGCTGTACAGACTGAAGTGTGACCCTCCAAAACTGCACATGATAAAGCCCCAGTTTCTCAGCATGAGACAGAATCCTGAAAGCAGCTGCACAGGTGCCCCACCCAACACGCGTGGTGTCCTTACAAAGGAGGAAAGTTAACACAGACACGTTAGACACATACAGAGGGAAGATCCAGTGAAGACACAGGGAGAGCAGCCTGCTGCAAAGCAAAGAGAAAGCCTCAGAAGAAACCAGATCAGCCAGCAGCACCTTGGCCATGCACTTCTGCATGCCCTAGATTTGTGAGAAACTGCCCTGCCATTGTCTAGGCCCTCCAGGCTGAGGTACTACGTAGGCAGCTGGAGCAGAGTCTTACAGAAGTTGTCTCCATGACCTGAGAAGTTCATCCTTTACAGGAATGCTCCTCAGGCTGCTGAAGACATTCAGTCCTCACACACACAGGGGTCTTCTGGACTCCTAGGCCCCAGTCCGTAGCCTGCTCACCTGTGGCCCTGAGAAGCCTCCAATCCCAGTGACTTCAGCTATCCCACTGCTGTTCAAAGATCCAAGTGGATTGCTCCCACCTGGAAGGCAAGGAATCAGAGCTGTCTCACACGCTCAGAACTGAGGAGTTTCCACATCCAAGAGAGTAGGCCCAGTCTAGGAGCACCAAAAGCACCAGAGATGACCCAAAAGATGAAACTGGTGGTACCTATGCCTCTGGAGGAGGTGCTGGCATCTGAGAGAGATGGGGACTCAAGTGGAGGTGTTGGTGAGAGACCCAGGCCAGGACGGTGAGGAGGTGATGTGCCAGGAGACTCCTGCTTGGTGGAAAAGAGGCGGGATGACATCAGTGCTCAACAAATTCATGCCAACCTACATGTGTTCTGGCATCCACAGTGGTGATCTCCACGTAGGCAACTCCCCACCAACACCATTTCCTTCTGTGAAGCTTCTGAGAATGTGGGCCGGCTTCCTGCTGCTAAGCCTCTGAAGTAAAAATTCTCCATCTTAATTTTCTAATATTTCTACCCTTTTCCTCTCTCCCCCCTCTCTCCCTCTCATGTGTGTGTGTTGCTTTTTTGTGAAATAAGGTCAAACTATGTAGCCCAAGCTGTCCTAGAACTCATAGCAATCCTCCTGCTTCAGCATTCCAAAAGTTTTGATTACAGGCATGACCCACTATGTCGGACTTCCAAGGCCTGTCTCACTCTGCCTTTTGCCTTTAAAAACAGATTTATTTCCTGTGGTCTCCTTTCTTTCAGCCCAAGGTAGAGTGTGATGCCAGGGCTATGATGTGTCTGGGTTTCCTCTGGGTCTACAGGGAGGGGCTGCCAGCCCATCTGTGGAGGTTACCTCTGAGTCAGAGCTGCCCGAGGAGTCTTCATCTCCAGAGGGGGACGCGCTGTTGGCAGGCTTTGATCGAAACCAACTGAACCAGCCAAATCCAGAGCTCTGAAGGGCAAGGGGTATTGTTAAGGCCACTGGACTTTTTTTCTCTCACCAACTGTGAGAGCTGCCCAGCCAGGCATGAGTGTTGGGGGGGGGGCAGGGCTCTGGACTCTGATCCACTGTTTGAAACAGGGATAAAGCGGGGGAATACAGAAAGGAACAAGTCCTCCACCTTTGTAGCCGCTTTCCCATCCCCTGGCTTTCCTCTCTGTGAAGTATCGTGGTGAGATGACTCGTCTGCCCCATCCGAAGATCCCCCCTCTTCTTCCTTGGCTGAAACTGTGGAACCCTCAGAAAACCTTTGAGCTCTGGGAGCTGGTGGTGCCTGAGATAAAACGAAACAACAGAGATTCGCAAGTAGCTTAACAGATGGCAGAGCCCATGTCCATAAGACCTCTCACTCTGAGCCCAAGGCTAGCTGCTGGGGAGGGAGGCAGTCTTCCCCATGAAAATGCCCGAGCATAGGTGAGCAAGCCCAAACCCGCCCAGTCTTCATCCCCTCCCTAACACTGCGGGTTTGTCTGTCATATAACTGCTCCAGGTCAGAGTCTCCAGAACTGGAAGCTACTGCTGGGGATGAAAAGGTTCCTGGAGCGCCTCTGAGAGACCCTCACACTCTGAAGTCAGAAAAGTTAGCAGCCAGTGCATCTAACCTCAGAGCTTGTTTCCTGACAGGCTCTCCCAAGAATAACTGAACATATACACCAGAAGGGAGCCAAAAACACCCACGCCCCACTTCCTACTAACTTTCCCTTAGCCTGGTAAATATGCATAGCCAATAAAGTTCACTTTAACCATAATGCAGTGGCATTAAGTATATGCACAGTGTTGTCCAGATATCAGCAGTACCCATGCCCAGCATTTCTCCTCATCCCATCAGAAACACTACCTCCCTAGCCCCATCCGCAAAGCCCGGCCACCTCTGCCCCATTCTATCCAGTCTCGTTGAGTTTGCCTATACTAGAGATCTCATATGAGTGTAATAATGCAACATATTGCTCTTTATATTGTATTTTCATTTTATATTCTCAATAGAGCACAATTAATAAAAAACTACACAAAATACTATAGCAAGAATACAGGAAGGGCTACATTTTTTATGTGTACGGTTATAATGTCTTCAGAGTTCCAGACGCTGTTCTAAATGCTTTTCGTATCATGATCCACTGAATCCTTCCAACAGTACTGTGAGAAGCGCACTATCATTATCCTCTAGTTTCAAATATGAGAAAACCAGAGCGTAGCCATGCCCGAAGACACACAGCTAGTAAAATACAGAAGGGAACTCTAACCTGGCTTTCCTCCTAAGAATCTATTCCAATTCCGTAAGTCAAGACATAGGCAAGAGCCTATATTCTAGGGGGGCCACAATGTGTGCTGTGGAAGAGTAGAAGAAAGGAGGCAGGGAATGGAAAAGCACCGCAGAAAAGGAGGGGGGTGGAAGGGAAATGGCAGAGAAGAAAACGCCTGTTTGTGAGTCCCCTTCCTTGTGCACTCCACAGTCTAACAGGAATCTTCCTCACCTATCCAAGGTGTCCATGCAGGGCTCCCTCTACAGTGATACCTGTGCCCCGTCACCTGACTCATTATTTCCGTGCTGTCCTCGGGACACGGCCCTGGTCCCTCCTCTCCGCCCACTGTTCATCTCTAGCTCCCTCCATCAGACGATACAGCATCAGGCTGGCTGTATCTGTCCACTGATGCATGCCCAGCCCCACCACTGTGCCTGGCACGCTGCTAGAGTCTGGCAGACACTTGCAAAGGAATGGAATACTTTCACACAATGGATTTTGTCGTACCATTTCTGAAAATATACTTGTGAATGATAGAAAAAATCTTAAATGGTGTTAAATAACAAGTAGAAAAATACACCTGTTTTAACTATTGAAAAGCATGTACATATATATTTATTAATATACATATGTGTACATATATACACATACATGGGGGAAAACTAATGGGAGAGCCAAAACATTTACTATGAAATTCTGAGTAGCATTTACTTGATTCTTCATTTTAATTTTTCTATAACAATAGTGTACTACTTTTTCTACAAAAGAAAAGTATAATTTTTTAAGAGAGCCATAGCCCTGGGGCTGAGATTGCTCAGTGGTTAAGAGCACCGTCTGATCTTCCAAAGACCTGGGTTCAATTCCCAGTGCCCACATGGTGGCTCATAATCATCCATGACTCCAGTTTCAAGAGATCTGGTTCTTTCTTCTGGCCCCTGAGGGTACCAGGCACACACATAGTACACAGACATACATGCAGGCAAGACACACATACACATAAAAAAGAAATAAATCTAAATTTAAAAAACAAAAGATCTGTAGCCCATTACTACTTTTAAAAACTATGTGATGTAATCGTTTAAACAATGCAAAGCTGCAGAACATCTTGTTTGGCATCAGAGTTGAATGCTGTGCAGTCTGTCGGCAATAGTAGAAAGAAGGATTGGGCAGCTGGGAGAAGAGACATAGCAGGTGCTCTCAGTCCTACCATAGAGATCTGACATAAACCAAGGGGAATGTCAAAATAAACACCAGTGCTGCTCCTCAACATGGAAGAAGAGGGTGCAGAAGAACAGAGAGCCACCTATCAGCCATCTCTACTGCTCTGTCCCCCAATGACACAGGCTGGGGGACAGGTGGAACTAAGCACACACAAGAACACAGCCTCCTTTCCAACTCTCGGGGTTTCAGATGAAAAGAAACAAGGAATGATTTGCACACGGTAGAAGAAAGCATTCCCAGGTCCCGAGGGGAGCCCAGGTGTGGCTGAGAAACCAGGGGCCAATAGCAAACAGCAGATGCATTGGAGTAGTTACCAGTAGTCCCCCTACTCACCTGAGGACTAGAAACGACTTCTAGACCATCGGGATCTTGTAGGGGTTCTTGAGGGGCTGTGTTCTCCCCTAAAGCACCAAAGAAAAACAAAGAGCCTCAATTTGTGCTCTTCCTACCCATCTTGAAGAAAGGAAATGGAGACCCAGTGGTTTAAGTGGCAAGAGTTTATACCACAAGCAGGTCACTGCAAATGCAAAATCTACTTGCTTGGTTCCACTCAATTCACGCCACCTCGTGACACACTGGCCAACCCAACTCTACCTGCTAAATACCAAGGTTGTTCCATAGGTATGTAAGGAGTCACAGCAACATAGAGCTAGATCCTAGGGGCTGTCCCCACCCTCCTTCCATGCGGGTCTCTAGCTCAGCTAAGGCTTCATGTTAAAGGGCTGCAGTCTAATATTCCTTTGTGGTACCCAGAAACTCGCTTGCATCACTCAGTGTCTTTCCCCCATGTGTAGTCTTCTTCTCCCCAAGGCCTTCAGGCCTGAAGAAATGCTGAACCAGACTAGGAATACAGTCCCAGCCACAGGTCCTGTCAATAAGATCCTGGGTTGAAGATGATACCAAAAAGAAGCCCCTTGACCACCATCCATGAGACACAGGGCATTTTCATCACTGCTTTGTAACCTCGACAACATGTCAAGCCACATATTCCAAGGAAAAGACAGAACAGTGATGTCTGTCCTGCTCTGCTTTTTCCCGCATACAGGTGTGTGGGCGAGAAGAGCACACACTCCTTCAGGTTAGCAAGAGCAGACCCAAAGTGCATTCCCCATGTGCCTCTGTTAGTGCCAAGCCCACTTCCTCCAGTCGGTCCCTGTGCCTCCCTCGCTTGTCTCTTTACCACCAAGACGTCCACCCTCCCCCTGGCTGGCAGGTCTTACCAAGGGAAGGATGTATCCGCAGCATTTCCTCCCCAGCCCTTGCTCCAGGAGCCCCTGTCACTGCCACGCTGTTGTTGCTGCCGTCGCCACTGGTCACTGACAAGTGGGTTGCAGGAACCGAATAAAGAGGCACCGGGGTCCCTATGTACCCCAAGCCTTCTCTCTCTGAGTAGGGATCTCGCTGCGGGGGCAAAGGCTGCTGTGGGATGGTCTGGGTCAGGCCCGTCTGCTCAGGCATCGGCCATGGGACTGAGCTGTACCCAGGGTCTCCCGCGTAGCTTTGATATCCTGGAAGATCCTGGTAGGAAGTGTCTAAGGAAGAAGATGTGGCAGATACAGACAAATCATTCTTAGCCATTCCTGCTCTTGGCCTCTCCAGAAAGCAATCACACGGACTGGCTGCTCTGTGTGGCCTCCTAATGACAGCGAGTGAAGCACTGACAAACAGTAACTCCCCTCCCTGCTGCCTTCAGAATGGTGCCCTCCGCTCTGGAATGATCTCGGAGCCTTTCTCCTATGGGCTGAGAGGCCAGAAACGGCATCCGACTGAACTCTACACCTTTTAATATTTGCATGTTTACACACTCTACTTTAAGCGGGCCTCATTAGACTTTAAAAGCTTATAGTTGAAAGAAAATTGAGTGACATTCTAGAAATGATGGCTTTAGTTGTAAAGAATCAGGGTCTGTTTGCCCTGGAAGAGGCCTTGCTGGTATGATCAATTAAAGTGTGGGTGTGAGAAATGTTTGGCCTGAGGGTGCAGGGATGCTGTGGGGTGCCAGCCTTTATGTTCCAGGGCCAGAAGAACGTCACCATGTAGAAACACCCAGACAGGCTCTCAAAAAGACAAGAAACAGAAGCCAAAAACTCCTTACATCCCACCCATCCAGCAAGCAAAAGAAGGCAAGAGACAAGGGCCCTTGTCTGAATCAGGGGAATGATTTCAGGGAAATGTATGGAGTTAATTTGGAATTTAACTCCTACTGACCAGACACTTAGAGACATGCTGGGGAAGGAATAAGGAGGTGGAGAAAACACTTTGAAACTTATATGGCCGATTGAAAGCTCAAAATCTTTCATTCTTCCAATGTCTAGAACACTAATATAAAATACTAATAATGTATAGTCTCTGGACTCAAGAAAGATATCTAACTGGGAGCAAGATATTCACACAGGTGAGGCAATTGGATAGCAATGAAAAACGTGAAATAGTCAAGTATTTGAAAACCCAGCCTACAAAGTAAAAAACCTTCATGCTACAGGAATTCAGACGTGTCCAGGTGTGTAAGGCCAGCAAGAGCCAGTCAGAAAATGCAGTCTGGATCAAAGGGCCTAATTCCCAGACAAGGAAGACACCAAGGAAGGGGACGCGTGGGTGGCTGAGAGTATTTTAGTCACATTCTAGCAGCCGGAGCTTTGCAACGCAGTACCTGTTGTTCCTCTGGCTCCATAAATATGTGAATTAGTAGAACTGAGGTCTCCAAGGTCTCCTGCTTTACTTTGCTGTTAGAAATAAAGTAAAGATCCTTTTAAACAATATAAAGGAAAATCAGGGCAGAAGTCAAGGTAATGCTGAAACCATGGCCAGACAAGGAAACGCTACTGAAAGGCCCAGGGCCCAGAGTCATGCAGATGAGACACTGTTTCTTAGGTCTCCCTGCTCAGCTCAGAGCAGGCCAGGATAGCCACAGCCAGTGTCACCATCCTCCCCAGAGTGAGGGGCCGAAGCAAGGAACTAAACTGTGGGCCTCTGAATTCGCTACCCAGGGAAGGTGAAAGGGCAGTGTACATTTAAAAATCCCCTTTGTCCTGTCTTCAGAGCAGAGTGGAAGAAAGGAAATGGGGGAGGCCCTGCTCCAATTACTCTTCTGATTATGGCCAGCAGCTTTTGCAATTGTCAGAACAAAAAGGAAAGGCCCGGAAGTCTTTTAAGCAATTGCCCTACATTACATGAAAGTGACACAGGTCCACTGTGGTCCATTGTTCCTAACAGAGATGGGGAAGCTTTGATGGCTGCTAAGCATTCTCTGGGACCTCAGAGAAAGACCGGTAAGAGTGGCTGGGAAGAGCGCCCCCCTGTGGCACTAGGCAAACAGGAAAATGTTTGCACATGGTAAACCCCCACCCCCCACCCCCCACCCCCGCAGTGAAAAGAAAGCTCTGAATCCCAACACTGGGGACATTGACCTTGCCTCAGAAGTGATGGGAGATGCCCAAGGCTGGGAACTGGGCCCTTCTCTGTCCAGTCTATGTCTGGGAAACACAGGGTACCCAGTGACCCTGTCTCACCCTGCTCACCTCCAGTTCCTTGTGCTGCCTCCGCAGTTGCACTAGCCAATCTGGTTCCAGGTCCCTGTCCCCAGGGCGTCTTTCTAGAACCAGAGGGTCTGACAGCTTCAGTTTCTCTGCAAGCTGAGCAGAGTTTCCAGGTGGGCCACGGGGTAGAAAGTGAGAGAGGACGAGAAGAGAGAGAAATGGGGCACAAGGGAAGACAAGAGGGGAAAGAGGCAATAAGAAGGAGGGAGACGGAGTCGTAATTCACTCACACATCACATTATAAAGAATAATTGAGAAATAACAAATTCAGCCGATCTCCTCCCAAAATTGCAGCATCAATAAATAAGCAACCCATTTTGGCATTGTTTCCCCCAAATATGAGAGTTAAAAAATAGCTCCTCAGCTTTGTGCTCTGCAAAGCTGTCTTCTCCGCAAGAAACTTCTAGAATAGTAATGCGGGGCGCACAGGCACCTTGTTCATGCTGATTCTGGTTCTGGTCTGGGCAGGAAGGAGCTCAGATCTACGCCGCTAACAACCTGATGCTGCTTCCCGATTCGAGGTGTCATCGTGTTCTGCATCTGGGCCATCAGTCCTCCAGTTGAAATGTCAGCGCATGGAGGGAGGGGGACCTCCGTGGCACAGGCTTTATTGGTTACAGAATCTAACACTTGGGCCTCGTGTAAAGCAACACGCAAACTGAAGCGCACCGCGCCTTCTACTCCCCAGCTAATGGAGTTTTTTCTTCAGCTAATTGGAACAACTATTGGCCTGATCGCTGTTTTCTTCCCAAGGAACTGAGGGCTGGTATGTTTTTGTTTTCTTTTTTTATGTGTCCCACATGTGATAAAATATTCTATGCATTTAAAAGTATTTTAATAAGGATCATTTCCTGCTTTAATCACTAAAATCTATTTTCAAAGGCCTGCTTTGGTAATTACAACAGCTCACCGCAGCTAGCAGTTTAACTGTACCAGAAAAACAGAAACAATGCCCGCTTTCCAGTCCCCCAGCCCCACTGCCCCCTGTCCAGCCCGTTGTTCTTTGTGTGGGCAGGCTTCTGCTTATCACATCGGGGCATGCATACATGGTCAAAGACAGCTGTGGTCTCCAATTCCGCAGCATGTTCAAAGAAGATGAAACGTGGATTCTAAGCCTCTCTACAATGGCCTCCCTGAATGCTGAAGATAAAGCACCTACAGAGACCCCTTTGAGAAGCTCACCTTGATGAGCTCTGCTAATAGCACAGGGTGACTGCTCCCTCCCTGGCTCAGGACGGCCTCCCCAATGGCTTCACAGTAATGCAGGGCCTGGGATGCCAGGCCATAATCTGCCAGCCGGGAAGCATAAAGGAGCTTATACACCTGCAAAGAGAAACGGGGCCAGTGATGAGTCCATCCAGACAGGAGAGGGGGAGACAAATGGAGATAAGACTTCTTGGAAGTCAGCTGACTGCCAGCTTCCGCTCACTCTGGCATCCAAATAGCAAGGGCCCGGTGCCATTTGGGGCAATTTATCTGTATATGGGCACAACTCCAAATCCAGCCTACATACAGTTCCTGCATTATGGAGAAAAGGATGGGGTGGGGGTCACATCAACACATCTTCCCATGCTCCATTGGACAGGCAGCCCTTTTATCCAACAGTTCACATCACGGGGAGCCTGGGCATGTGAAGTTCAGTCCCAGGCACAAGGGTCCACATGAAGATACAAAATGAGTGCTTTTGCAAGGGCACTGAGTCCAGAGGGAAGCGCAGAGGAAACGCAGGAACGGGGAGGGGCTTTCAGAGAAGGAGGACGAGATCAAGTATGATGCTTCTGGTGTAAACAAAACCAATCCAATCCAAGCTCATACTAGGTGTGGGATATTTGGGCTAGTTCCCTTCCCTTTCTGTGCCTCAGTTCCCCCATTATAGCATGGACAATACCACCTATTTCTTTGAAAGCTATAAAGATGAAATGAGGTGACTCACACACAGAACTTAGAACAGATGTCGTACACACATGAGCTGGTAACATACCAAACCCTCTGAGCCTCAATTACCTCTTTTGCAAAAGGGGAAAACCCATAGGATTAGAAATAATATTCAAGAAGCATAGTACACAATGCTGAGTATGGGAAACAGTCAATAAAAATAGCTATGCCATGACTCTCAGTCCAGGGCCGTGCCAGCAGAGCTTGTGGGTAGGATAAATGAAGAAGAAAAAGAAAAGAAACCAAAGTGCCTATGCAGCAGCCATATAGAAGAGCAGTTAGGCAAGTAAAAACTCTCAAAGAGAGAGATTAAATGATACAGTGATTTATTCCAAGGTTGCATATGTTTTGTTGTGTGTTGCTATTATATCTATGTTCATTCTCAACAGCAGGCACTGAAGGACATCCAATCATTAAAAAAGGTTTCTGGTGTTGCAAGATAATTTGATTACACTGTATAAAGATGTGTCACTGTGATTGGTTTAATAAGAAGCTAAATGACCAATAGCTAGACAGGGAAACTAGGTGGGACTTCCAAGCAAAGAGAGGAACTGGGGTGAATCTAGGCACACAGAAGAAGACAACAGAAGTCGCAGACAAGTCAGAGGTACAGAATGAAAGGAAGGTAAGAAGTCACACGGTAGAACGTAGATGTTAAAGTATGGGTTAATTTAAGATATGCGAGCTAGTTGGAAATAAGACTAAGCTATGGGCTGAGTTTTCATAATTAATAATATGTCTTCATATTATTATTTGGAAGCTGGCTGGTGGGACAGAAAAGGACTTATTTACATATAGTACCCAACATGGGCCATATATTTCCACATGGGACCTGAGAAAGCTTTAAAAGAAAAGTTCCAAACACACAAACATGGAGCCAGACAAGACTTCCTAGTCCTCCAGTCTCCCAGGCAGGCCACAGAACACACAGATGTGGCTCCCGGCTGCTGCCTGCAGGCTGCAGCCAGCCACGAACCCATGCAGGGGCTGACATGCAGTTTAAGATTTGTCTCACATGGTCAAAAAATGCTGCAGGCACTTAGTAAAGCCAGTCCAGAAACAGAAAACCTCTAAAAAGGTACAGTATGTTTTAAAATGTGCTTAGATTCTAAAGAAAGAAATGAAAATGTGTATAGACATTAAAAAATAAACAGTTTAAAAATAGTAAAATAAAGTCTTTAAAGAAAAAATAAAGTAATATAGAAAGAATAAGCCATATAAAATGGGAAATACATAGCATGTCTGGATCCTGTATGTTGTTTTATTGACTTTGAATTTTTTAAATGTTAATGAACAAAGAAAAATAATAGCTGCTGAGAGACATTGGATTATGAAAACTGCTAAATTAAACCATCCAATAAATATATCTTAAGAATGCCGTAACTTCAAAACAGAAGTCAAAAAATATATTGCACTGAGGGGAGAAGTTTTGCTTTTGTTTCTACAGGAAACAAAAGGCTATGGTTCTCTTCAAAATTAATGAAGATCAGATTTGATTGGGGGAAACCTCCTAAAAATTTAGGCTGCAGACATAAAAAAAGACAGATTACAGGGTAGGTGATGTATATGCTGGTTCCTCTACTATGGGAACAGCTCTGAGACTGGGTGAGACATGATAAATCTTGTTGGCTACAGAGTCCTCATGACTTATTACCACATGCCACCCTTTCATATGGCATGGACAGAGGTTTGGTTATACAGCCCAAACAAACTTATAAGTTGACAGACATCTTTTATCTGCTCAAACATAAAACAAAAAATCATCTTTGGCTGGCTTGTATATAACACACAGTCCATATTTATGTTCATGTAAATATGTATATTACCTTTGAAAGTTTTCAGAACTAGGGGACTAGACACCAATGAAAATGGGTGGCCCTGGTGATCCAGCCTTTCAGAGTGCCTCTGTTGCAGTTTCCTCAGAGTTCTGCAGTCAGAAACAACTTCAAATCTGCTCGCTGAGATGGTCCAGCCTCATAGACTATTCTAGCCAGAACTTCAGATAAGCCTTCCACTTTCCTATCCCATAGAGACTAGACAACAAATGTTATAGCTAGTTTTCTTAGGACTTCACCATTATCTCAATTTTCTCAGGGTCCCCTGGAGATGCTGTTGGCCTCAGAAAACAGGAAACAGTCTTGAGGACACAATGTCCACATTTCCAAGAAGTGGTGTGAGTGGTTTTGGGTCATTGTGGGTTATAAATATTTGTCATTGGTTAGGGGGATTGGTTACAAGTTGCTATTGGTCATGATTGGGAGAAAAGCTGAACAAAGAAGATTAGATTCAGGAATCTCTTTCTGAAGAGTAAAAGGGGGGGATACAGTATAAAAATGATGGGATAAAAGGGTGAATTGTTGAGTCTGCTTTTGAACAACTACTCATCTCAAGTATTTTATGTTGGTATGGATTTTTTATGTTGATACAAATTTAAGGCTATTTTTGTTATACTGTATATATGTTTCTACTCTTGTTTAAGGTATTGTACCTGTACAGCTCATTTTAAAATATAATGTAAAGTTTTAGTCCTTGAAAGCTATTTAGAATAATAGAGAAAAACAGGTTAGTAGTTAGTCTTCTATAACAACCAAACTTATAGTTGTGTTATGCATGTTTTCAGGGTCAAAGAGATATATTTTAAATAGATAAATGGTCTTCAAATACTTCAAAAAACCTACAGAATATGTCATTTAAAATGTTTTGATAATAAGGCTTTTCATGACAGAGAAACATATCTAATCTCCATATGGAGTTTTCTTTCATTGTGTGTGTGGCAAAACTAGTCATTTGGTCAAGAAATTACCCTTGCCTCAACTGCTGACAATATACTGTACAAATTGGACAAGCAGGACACAAAGGAAAAAGACTGCTGAACTTTGCCAAGAGAAGGTGGGACAGTTCTTCAAAACTGCTGGTCATAGAAAAGTATGTAGGATATTCCAAGCCCATAGACCAAACATGGATGCCCCAACAGTGTAAGGAAACCTTAGGTGACTGTCAAGGCAGCCAGATGCTTCTGTCATTTCTATAGATTTGGAAGTTGCTTTCTCTGCACTTCCTGTTTAGTCAGGTGATATTTTATCTTTCCTGGGTCTCTCTTGGAAGTGAAGATGAGATAATTATAGTTATAATTTTCTGTTGCCAAAATTCAGGAAAAAACTTGCATAAAAGATATAAAGTTTATAAGGTGGGGAAACATAAAAGTTTAAATTATTTATCTGAGAAAATGTTTTTAGGGCTAAAACAATAGTTTTGGTGTTGCTAATACAAGTAATGATAAAAAAAAAAGTATAAAACTTTGGACTCAAAAGATAGGACAAATGATAGAGAATTTTCTCCAAAGTTGCCAGATACAAATGAGCTGGACATTGTAAATGTAATTGTTACCTAATAATTGTTCTAATTGTATATAGTTTTACTGTGTTAGAGTTAAAACATTTCTTTTAATTTAAACAAAAAGGGGGGAAATGTTGTGAGATATTTGATTACACAGTGTAAAGATGTGCCACTGTGATTGGTTTAATAAAAAGCTAAATGGCCAATAGCTAAACAAGGAGAGTAGGTGGGACTTCCAGGCAAAGAGAGGAATTGGGGATGAATGTAGGCACACAGAGGAAGACACCAGGAGTCACAGAACAGATCAGAGGCACAGAATGAAAGAAAGGTAAAAAGCCACATAGTAGAACATAGATTTAAAACTTTGGGTTAATTTAAGATATAAGAGTTGGGAACAAGTCTAAGTTATAGACCAACCTTTCATAATGAATAAGAAGTTTCCATGTCTTTATTTGGGAGCTGACTGATTAGACAGAGAAAGACTAGTTACACTCAGGTCTGAAGAGGATGCTCAAGGCAGAGAATAAAGGTATCTAGCCATAAAAAGGAAAGAAAACAAAGATTATCTACCCATAAAAAGGAAACAAAGAGTATCATCAGGTAAATGTGAGCTGAGAGCCTTAGAGCCAGGGCTGTGCCTGGAATAGTCCTGTCGCAAGCACAGAAACAAACTACCTCAGTTTTAGGCTAGTTTACAGCACAGGCTCGAGGAAAGCTTACACTCCATACCAGCAAGAGAGACGAGAAAAGGCTACGAGGTGCCAGGTCTCAAACTCATGGGAGATCAGACTGGGAGCAGAAGCAATCTCAGCACCAGTCACTATGGACAAAAGGAAGCAACGTAACGCAAATGCAGGCTGAGATGAGAGAACAGAACTTGGCAGTGTGCTTGCCACTTGCTCAGCTGAAGCCCTGAGAGGGAGGAGATAGTTGACCCAGGACAAAGCAGGAGGGGGGCTCCCAAGGAAAGAGGCCTGGTGGGAAGGAGGGAAGAAGCCGAGCAGCCAGGTGCACAGGATGACAGTGAGACTTGAAGAGGAGAGGACCTGCTGGACAAGAAGAACTCAAGGCAGCAGGAGCAAAGCAAGGCGGGGGCAGAACTGCAGCAAGATTTCCGTGTGTCAGGAGTGAGGCAAGAACCTCCAGCAGAGACCAACGAAGGGTTTTGCTTTCTTTTTGTAAAATTCAACCTTCCAAGGACATGGGAGGGAAATCCTAGGTCTTCCCACACTGAGGGAAATGAGTTGGCAGGAGGTGCCAGATGCCACACAGCAAAGCTGAAAACCTGGCTGCCCACAACTAAGCTGATGGTCCCCTGCGGTTTCGGTTACCTGGAAAGAAGGGATGAAGGATTTGGGGTGGCCCAGCATCTGGCAGTACTCGAAGATTTCTGTCCTCTGGATAGCCTCGGTTGTTGCAAACTTCAGAAACTCTTGACTAGAACCAGGGAATAACAATAACAGAGGTAAGATGGGGTGCTGCTCACAAGCAGCTCCAAGAGAGGAAAGAGACTGGGGACCCAAGGTGGACGCACTTCCTCCTTGCCCTCCATCCTCCTGGGTTTGGGGAAACAGATGAAATGAGCACTGTGCCAGCTGTTCTAAAAGAACCTGCCCATGAGAAGGAGGTCCTGCGCTTCCTTAGCAGAAGGCGGGACACTGCATTTCCTCCACTCTGACATCCTGAAAGCTAGCCATCAGCCCTAGGGCCTGGCACACCCCAGGAAAGGAGGACCAGCCCAAGCGCACCAGTGCAGAAGAGAAAGCCATGGAGTTCAGGAGCCCCACAGACAGTCTGGCAGAGACTGGGTGTGTGGGGGGGGGGGGGGGGGACACCTGAGCCAGAAGGAATCAGCAGGTCTTCCACAGTGAGGGTGAAAACAATGGCGACTGTGATTGAGAGGCGACAGGAGTCTCATGTATAAATACCCCTCAGACTCCCTCCACAGCTTGCCAGCTGCCGCCGGGAATATTTCCAGAAGCTAACATATTTCCAGAAACTTCCCCAGGATTCATAGACAATGAAGAGGAGACATATTAACTCAGGTACGTTTACGGTCGTATTTGGCCCCGACGAGAGAAGCTGACTATGCTGTCTGAGCCCAGGCTCTCAACAGCAAGGTCTATGAAGTGGGCAACACTGCCACAGTGGTAGAGGGCTGGGGACAGCTACAAGTTTGTCTCCTGCAGCCTGTCTGAACTTCCTGGTGCCCAGATGCCACCTTAGTCGGGGCTTTCAGTCTCTCTGTTCCTTGCTTTCCCTCCTTTGTTTACTTTTATTTCAATTTAAGGTAAATCCGTAACAAAGGAAACCATGCAAAGGAACTCTCAGAAACGTTTTCGTGTTCTCTGTTCAGACAGGTCAGTAGCCCTGGCTGGCTGGCGAACCTAGAACTCACCATGTAGCCCAGGCTAGTACTGATCTTGCTATAATCCTCCTGTCTATACCTCTTGACTACTGGAATTCTAGGAGCATAATACTGACTGCTCAGAAATCCTAACTATCGAGAGTAAAAGATCCAGAACGGTGAGGGCCACCCAGGACAAGCTTATCTATGTCAGCTCACTCCTCGGGGCTCTATGGTTCTCTCAGCATAAAAATCCTGATGTACGGCTCCCATACAACAAGTAACCAACGGGACAGGCTCAAAAGAGCTTGTGCTCACACTAATGCATTGAATGCCCAAAGAGTAGGCTCTCAGAACAGGCCCAGGGCTGCCCAAAAGAGACGACTTGTAAATTTCCTTTTTATTTTTCTTTCTATACTATCCCTAGTTGTGGAGCTAGGCTGCCACCCAGTGGCTATCAGAGTGCAATACACACCAAAGGCACCGGTTCAGGCCCTCTAGTGGTGTGATGTGGCACCCTCTGGTCACCTTGCCTAGAAGTGTGCAGGAGATAAGGAGGAGCCGGCAGTAAGCTGAAATTTACACAAGAAAATGAATAGTGAAGCCCTGGAAGCCAGCAAGGGCTAAAACAATCCAGGAAAAAACATCTTTGCCAAGCCCTTCCCCTGCAAAAGTCACATACCTATGGCTACTGCCCAGCAAGGCCAGGTGGTCTGTCTTCACTGTGTAGTGGCCAAAGGGCACGTGAGCCGTGAGATAGCAGAAGTGAGACGCCTCCACAAGCCCTTTCCCAGCTGCAGGAAGAGAACAGGAACCCAGTCAGAAACCGCGCCCTGTGGGGCTCAGCATCTGAGTAGAACAGAGAGAAATAGTGAACTCCAGGGTCGGAGTGCAGAAACCTCGCGAGAATAAACCAGGGGCGTTCTCGTGGCATAAGTCACAGACACGTCCGTCCCGCTCTCTCCCACAGCAGCTGTTGTGACTGAAGATACTGCATCTCAGTTCTCATCAGCCACACTGAGTGCCATCTCACATTCCCCTGATGGGTTTTTCTTTGGGAATTTTCTAAGAGTCAGGGTCCTTCCTGAGGCTGAGAAGGGAAAGGAGATGCCTATATGTAAGAAAAGAGGAACTTCAGAAATGGATTTAAAACATCCTCATGGGGTGTGACTCCTTCCTCTGCTAAAGTCAGACAGCCAAAGGCTTTTCCTGCACTAATAAAAATCACATCAATTACCAAATTGCTCCTGACTTTTTTTTTAATGTTCTCCACTGCCTTAAAATTGGATTAAGTGGGTGGGGACACTTAATCATCGTGGTCACCTTGAATAGAACTGGAATAATTTAGGAGATCCACCCCCTGGGTGTGCCCTTGAGGGTGTCTCCAGAGGAGGTTTAACTGGGTAGAGAAGGCCTATTGGTAGTGTGGGAGGAGCTATCCTCTAGGCTAGGATCTAGGGCTGAGTACAAAGAGAGGGAAGGAGGAAGCAAGCTGAGCCCCATCACTGTCTCTGCTTCCTGACAGTGAACACCAGGCCTCTAATCACCTCACACTAAACACCGCAATAGACTGTGTACCCTAGGAGTGTGAGCCAAGATAATCCTTCTTTGCTTAAGGTTTTTCCGGCTGTTCTGCCATAGCAGTGAGAAGGTAATTGATACAGCGGGCAAAGTACCAAACACAGAGTCTGATACCCAAGAAACATGGATGCCCTTTTAGTCAGGTAGCTGGGTGACAGCCATCACTTGTCACAACCTTATATATGGCTGCTTCCAATTTAGCAGGCAATTGTTCCCAACGTTCCACAAAGAACACCATTATTTCTAAACCTTCTGCCCAGACCAAATTTTCAAAGTAGTGATCTGGAATATACTACAATTGTCAAGTACTTGTAAGGCCACGTTCACAGACAGATAACAGAAATAAAGGCAGAATCACCAAGGTAGTTAGACATTTCCCATCTGATGGCCTTGGGCCACTAAAGGTCATGAGACAATAGGAAGAGGCATGCCTCTGTGTTAGCTCTAGGTAAAGGAGTTTCACCTGTGGCAAAAAAAGCTATACAGCAATGACAAAACAAAGTTCCCAGTGGGGATTCAGGGAAACAGATAATGAAAAACAAACAAAGCTGGCAAAGGGAATTCTGGGAAACAAAATTACATGATAGCTATGTCTTCCCTGGAGTTTCTTAACCAGAAAGACAGAGCCTCCAGAACCTGAGAAGGCCTGAGCCAAAGACTCCGGCTCTCTGGAGTCTACGACTCTGATGTCTGGCACTGGAAGCTGGCCTGGAGATGCCTAGAAAGAGGAAATGCTGGTTTCTGCTCACCCAGGGTATCCGCCATGCTGACAATGGCTCGCTGGTACAATTCGGTGTCCCCAGCCTGATTTGACAGGATCACAGCCAAGTGGGGCCGCCAGTCTCCCCACTGCTTGTCTCCACAGCACTGGAAAACAATGATTTGCAGAGTCACTTAGCATAGCCAGGGATGTAGGAAAAGAAGACTGCTGTCTCTGTCTTGGTTTGGAGTTCAGAGAATGTGCGTTACACTGTCTGTGATGTTATTGCTATTAAATAAGGGTTCACTCTGTATTAAGTGGCTGGTGCGTGGCACAGATCAAGGTGGTGGCACACATCGGTAAACCCAGCACTCAGGTGATTGAGAGGCCATCATGATGTTGAGATCTGCCTGGGCCACAGTATGAGAACCTGTCTTCAAATAAAAATTAAAAAATGGAAAATCACATATATATACGCTCACCCAGATACATACACATAGAGAGACACATAAGCATACATAGACTCACAGACACAGAGGCACACACAGATATGCAAACACACACAGGCATGCACTCACACAGAGACACACACTCATACACATCCACACAGAGATACATATACAAAACACACAGATACACACTTGTACACTCATACATGCAGACACATATATCGCATACACACATAAAGACAGACACAGACAAACACAAATACACTTAATGTATATGTACACACACATATATATACATATATATCAGTTATAAGGCTATTGGCTAATAAATAGAATGATATTAACTTACTAATTTTCAAGTTTTTCCCTGTCTTCACTTCAAATATCTAGAAACAAACTCTTCCCTACACACCCCCCCAAAAAATTCTAGTGTTTCAGTGATTAAAGAAAAAATGTCTCATGAGTGGAGAAGGCCATGCTGAGCTGACACAGAAGTCTTGAACTCCGAGTTGCTCACTGTCTTACAAGCAGCTGGTACTGCCTGGTCTTCCAAGGCCCTTCCACACATGGCAACTTTCACGGGGCTGTTGTGAAATGTAATTCCTATTGCTGCCGAAGGAATGAGGAAATCAAACAAGCTTTCAATATCCATTCAATTCCTCTCCACCCATTCCCTGGTGACAATGGAGTGGCCACAGACTCCATCAGGGACCTGTGGAACTGCTATGTCTTTGGTCCATTTGGGGTTAGTTTTTGTACAAGGTAATAGACACTGGTCTAACTTTGCTCTTCTGCATGTGGACAGCCAGTTTTCCTAGAACCATTTGTTAAAGATGATTTCTTTCCTCCAGCTGATGTTTGTGGCATTTGTGCCACATATTGACTATGGTTATAGGTATTGGGGGAGGGGGAGGGAAATGGGAGGCAGTGGCGTGGAGGAGGCAGAAATCTTTAATAAATAAATAATAAATTATAAATAAATAAATAAATAAATAAATAAATAAATAAGATCTAGGGTGGCAATCCCTCCAACATTGTTCCCTTTGCTTAGATTGTTTTGGCCACCCAGGGTTTTTATGGTTCCATATGAATCTGCTTTCTATTTTTACAAAGAACGAGGTAGAGATTTTAATGAGTATTGAATATGTAAAAGTTTTGGTATATTGGTCATTTTCACAATATTAGTTCTATTGATCCATGAACATGGAATGTATTCCCATTTTTAAAGTTCTTATCTCTTTCTTCAGAGGTTTAAAGTTTTTTTATAGAGCTTCTTTACCTCCTTTATCAGATTTATTCCTAGATATTTTATTTTCTTTGAGGCTGTCATGAATGGAAACGTGTCAATGATCTCTTTCCCTGAATGCTTGTTGGTGGTGTATAGAAAAGCTATTGATTCATGCAAGTTGATCCTCTATCCTGCCACATGCCGAACTTGCAGTTTCTAGAAGCTTTCTGCTAGAATTGTTGGGATCTCCTGGGTATAATATCATGTCATCTGCAAATATGCATAGGTTCTCTCCATACAGAATGGCATTGGCTGTGGGTTTCCCACATGTATCTTTTATTGTACTGAGAAATGTTCTCTCTAGTCCTACTCTCCGGAACTTTTATCATGAAGGCATGGAGTTTGCCAAAAGCTTTTTCTGCATCAATTGAGATTTTTGCCTTTAAGCTCATTTGTGCAGTTTATTACACTAATTGACTTGCATACATTGAACCTCACCCTAGGCCACCCTCCTTGAAGAAGAACTTCAGGGGAGAAAGAATCAATGAAGAAGCAACATAATGTGATAAATTCTGCACCATCCCTGGATGCGGCCCAAGTCCTGACTCATACAGTATGAGCTTGAGCAAGTCTTTAATTTCACTGAACCTTTGTCTTCCTCGTCTCTAGAATGGAGACCATCATTTCTACCTAACAGGACTCTTGGTGACAATAAAACAGACAGTTATATAAAGCCCATGACACAGTGTTGCACACTTGGTGCATGTGTACACTTACAAACACACACACACACACACACACACACACACACACATGCAGTAGAGGAAAGAGGTAATGTACAAACCAGTCTAAACCAATCCTGTTACATAGACAGAGAAGAGAATTGACAGTAATTGCTAACACTTAGAGTGCAGAACTATTTGTAGTTATTTTGGGTTTATAGTCATAAAAGGGAATAAATGATGTTTATTCCATGTGACACTTGTTCCCTACCTATTTCAACAGCACAGCATAAATGTATATCATGTATATCATAACGGTGGTCATGAGAAGTCATAGTAATATTAGTTTTAATTTACAACAACGGCTTAGACCATGAACCACACCCTGGGCACAACAATTGCATAGCTCAGGGACATTGCTACTCTCACTTAAACATATAAGCCAGGCCTCTTCTTGCTGGATCTGCAAGAACGTAACAGAAAAAGAAAGAAAAACTTTCTACAAAAAGAAAATAATCTTGGAAGCCATCCTCCTCCCTGGTTTAGAGCAAGGAGTGGGGAGTAGTATAAAGCTGATTAGGGTGGGGGAGAATTCATTAATTTCCTTAATGGGATAAACATGCAAGCATGGTGGCTGCCAGCCTCAGCCATTCTTGTTCCTTTAAAGTCACAATAACTGCTTGGCCATCAAAATCTCCACAAAGTGAAAAACAGTGATATTAAATAGCAGTCAAGTTTGCCTAGAAGTAGTGAGAAAAGTCAAGCTTATGCCTGCAATGAAACCCACATCAGTACATCCAGTAGACATGCCTCTCCCATGATGCCACCCATGTAGCAGAAAGGTAGCTTTGTATTCGATGTAAGGGGCTAGGAAGTTCTCATACTCTAAGATGGAATACAGCAACGGCACATCATTGTGGAGCCTTAGTTCCCTTATCTAAGAGCAGGAAAAATTAGCTAACTCTCCCTCCTCGCTGAGGCCCAATAGACCACAGGCTAATTATATCACTTTCTCCATTAGGTGCTTCCTGACACGGTGCAATTTCATTGCAGTGCTGAAGCTTCCATTTAGCTGAATTGTGAAGCTTACCCTATATTCCAAAATAGCCCATTGGTTTAAAGGTGGAGGACAGAAGGCATCATTTCTCTTTACTGTGCTTTTCTTAGAATTATCCACAGCAAAAAGAATGTCAAAAAAGAAAGAGAAAGAGAGGGGGGGAGGTTAAATTCATTTTCATGAAAACCCGTTGCTAGCCAAAACTCAAGCTTCAAATATAAGATATGACTGCCAAAGTGATGGAGATGGAATGGCAAAGCATTGGGCAGGATCAGAAGTGATGGACTAATACTTCCATGCAGCGAGAACATAAAGGAGCCCAGGAAAGAGATAGTACCTAACAGGAAGTCCTCAGGCAAGGAATGGGGAAAATGTTAAAGAAACAAAGACAAAAATGTTAGAACAAAAGAGCAAGAGACACTGGGGGAAACAGTGAAGGACAGAGGCAAGAAAAGAGAAGAAGGAAAGACAGGGTAGGCAAAGGAAGGATGGAGGAGGGAGACAAAAAATGTTTTTAATTTGAGAAAAAAAGTAAAAGTCGAGTACGGTGGCACATGTTTGGAAGCCTAACACTGGGGAGACGGTGACAGGAAGATCAGGAGTTCAAGATTATCCTAAGTCACACACGGAGTTCAAAGTCAGCATGGGTCTCAGAAAGGAGATAAGTATATCTCTATAACTCATATATTTACATACAGTTTATACATGTGAAATAGACATGGAATTCCTGGAAATGAAACCAAAATAAATATTGAAAGATATAATCCAAGAAGATGTTCCTGAATTTTAAGGCATGGGTGTTTATAAATAAACAATAGATATATGGTATTGCCAGGGAGATTTAAAAAAAAAAAAAAGGCCCAGACAGTCAATGCCAAGATACATGCTGGTAAAGTTAGTGGATCAGAAAAGAACACATTGGCTCAAAAAGATCGATCTGCTATAGTGGAGACGGTCTCAAGCAGACCTCCACCTTCTTGGTCACATTCAACTCCAAAAGCACAAAGTCCAACATGTCCAGTTCTGGAGGATCGCTGTGCAAAACAACAGCTCTTGCACAATCAGGCACTGTGGCAAAGGTAAGGTCTTTGGAACCAGGTAAACCTGAGCCAGTCATGACCCCATTCCTCACTACCTCCATAACTGAACCATTTTTACACCTCGGTACTTCTGTTTCTGTGCCTGCAAAAGTAGGAATAATGACTCCTATCTCCATGAAAGAAACCAGCTGCTATGTATCAGATTGTCTATGGGTCAAGCACGCTGTAGATAATTAATAAACTATCATCCAGGCATCATCTGGAAAGGTAGTGAGTGCTACATTCCCAGGTAGGCCTCAACAGCCCACTCCCAACCCTTAGGACTCTGGGGCATAGAAAGAAGCCTGTCACAGAGAGTACCAACCGTGGCTGCTTGTGGAATCCTTCCCGACATGAGCTGGAAGAGGGTCTGCAGGGGGTCGTTAAGTGCCAGCGTGCTGGTGAAGCTGTGAGAAGAGAGGAGAGTCAGCGGGGAGTCAAGCCCAAGGGGAACCCGTCACCAGTACGCAGGCCTGAATATTCCACTTGACAGGCGCTTCCGTTTTGGAAGCAGGCTTCTCTCTGCCCTGCTGTGCCTTGTGGCCTTTTACAGACGATCAACCACATCTTTACCACATCACACTCCCCCAAGTAGACTTCATTTCTCCAGGATACTTTTTTGGATTTTTTTCCCTAATGCCCTGATTCTTGAGTAGGCACTTCTAAATGCCTTCTGTCAGTGAGTTGACCTGCCACATCCCTAGGTCATCTGGGTAGCCCCGCAGAGAACATGGAAGCTCTTCTCCATCGGCCCCTCCTTCCCAGGGACCCTCGGTTCCTCCTCACCAAACCCATCCCACTAAGCATCATTTTTCCGGCTCATCTCAAGCCTGGGTCTGTAGAGCTTTGACTCACAAGCACTAAATAGCCATTTTCAATAACCAAAGAGGCGTAGAAGAGGGACCAGAAATGAGCCTGCTGATGACAAACTGAGGGATGTGCTTAACAAGGATATAATAAGCTCTACAGCTGATTTGAGATTTAAGCACACTCAGTAAGAGATATTTTTCACAATTCACTGGGCCCCATCAAAAATCAATGGCCCAAGGCAAAACTCTGTAGCAGAGATGTATGCTTTGACGCGGGGATATGGGATGTTCATTTCCAAAACCCAAAGGGAAAATCGTCCCTCAGATCACCATCTTTTGCTTAATAGCGCCCTTGCCATGGGAGCCCGGCACACTCGGCATTCCAGACAGCAGCATGCCCCCACTCTAGCCTAGGGCCATAATGGAGAGAGGGTGGTATCGCTTGTGCCTGGGAAGATGGAGTTAAGGTAATAAGGAGTCTCGCTGAGACCATCATGAAGAACAAACCACCAGGCAGTGTGGCCTCCAACAGGAACATAGAACTTAAAGCAGAGGGTATGGTCAGCCAACTCTCTACCCAACAGCATTTACGGCCAAGTCAGCCTAGGTTCAGAGGGTTGTCTCCACAGCCTCAGCCAGCTCTAGAAGGTAAACTGCACACAGGCCATCTTTATCAGACTCTGACCCAAACCTGTTCCTACAGGAGGCCTCCCCCTCACTCCTGCCACCCATGATATGCAGGAGTGTGGCAGACTCACATAGAAACTCCCCTACAATGTCCACCTAGACCCAGCACCTCCTCTACACTGACTCCCCACTGCTACATGTCCCCCCAGTTACCACAGGCTGTGTGCTGTGCTCCTGTCCCTCCCTCACATTGGCTTGGTCGTTCTCCAGGTCTATCATGGCACCTGGTTCCCTGTCAGCTGTGATTCCTTACCAAGTACGCCTCTTCTCTCAATAGTCCCCGCCCAATTAATGCCTATCCTACCATGGCTCATATACATGCCATACCAGCTCCTATCCTACCAGCTCCTCAGAAGCCACAGCCTCGGTGCAAGACCAAACCCTGGACTCTTTCTTAAATCATAATCCCCTTGCCTCCAGGCTCCATCGGCTACACTTAAGTGATCCCCCACCCTTCCTTTCCTAATGAAACTGTCTAAAGCAGCCCCTCCCACAGAGGACTACAGTGTAGAATATTCAGAATTCCCAGAAATTCTAGTGCCTGAGGAATTTTGCCAAAAATGTTTCATTCCATTTAAACAGGTTTGAAGAATGCTTCTTTGCCTAAGTTATAAGAATCTATGGCCAGTGAAATTGCTTAGTAGGTAAAGCTACTCTCTGCCAAGCTTGATGACCTAAGTTTGGATGCCCTGGATCTACATGATGGAAGAAGAGAATTAACTCCCACAAATATTTTTTTTGGCCTCCACACATAGTCTGTGGCACAGGCACACACACACACACACACACACACACACACACACGTGCGCAGAGAGACATGCATAATAAATAAATAAATGTTTAAAAATGAAGAATCTTGAGAACTGAGCATGAAGGTAGTATGCTTATAATCTCGGTACTTGGGAGGCTGGGGACAAGGAGAATGAGCAGGAAGAAGAGAGGGAAGCAGAGGGAGAGGAAGAGAGGGAAGGGAAGAGGAAAGGAGGGGAGAGGGTAGGAAGAAAGGAGAGGGGGAGGGGATGGGAAAGAGAGAGAAGGGGGAGGAGAGAAGATGGGAGGAATGGAGATGAGAGAAGAGAGTAGGGAAGGGGAATAGAGGGAAAGGGAGGAGAGGGGAAAGGAGGGGAGGGAGGAGAGGAGAGGAGAGA